TAAACCCTAAACCCTAAAGGCCCTGCACCAAGACAGTGATCAACTTCCACCTGCCAGTGGATGTCCGGACCTTTGCTGCCAGGGGCTGTTCATTGCAGTTTGGGGCTGAATCTAAGGAGGTTTCACTTTCGTGGCCTTGGGGTTTAGGATTCTTCCGCGGTTTTAAACTAAACCCCAGAAAAAAGGCCCTGAACCCTAAAACCCTAAACCCTAAACGCCACGGAGCCCTTCGAGCTCCATGAGCCCTCAGACAGCCCCTGAAGCCTCGAGCCCTGAACTGCTGAAGCCCCCAAAAGGTTCAGGATCAGAGTTTGGGGTCAGGTTTCGGGTTTTAGGGTCTCACCTAAACCCTAAACCCTGAAGGGGTTTAGGGTTCAGGGTTTGGGGTTTCAGGTTTGGGGTTTCAGGTTTGCCAAAAGCTTGGAACTCCGAGCCGAGGGCCAAAAACTCGGAAGCCGTTCCTCTACTGTGAATGTTTAGGGCGTAGGGCTTCAGGGTTTGAGGAACTTTAGGGGTTTTAGGAACCTTAGGGTTTTAGGAACTTCAGGGTCTTAGGGGACTTTAGGGTTTTAGGGACTTTAGGGTTTTAGGGACTTTAGGGTTTTAGGGAACTTTAGGGTGTTTTTTTTTAAAGAACTTCGGGGTTTTAGGGGACTTTAGGGTCTTCGGTTTAGGGATGAGGGCCCCAACCTTGCAACTTAGGGTTTCCTCATGGCTCAACTCCACAACAGACGAGCCTTTTGAGGTCCCAGAAACCCCAGAGACTCCAATATCCCTTAATTGTGGAATGTACCCTAAATTAAAAAAGGGACCCTAACAAGATTTAAGGTATATCCCTTAATTAAGAAATATACCCTAAATTAAAAAAGGGACCCTAACAAGATTTAAGGTATATCCCTTAATTAAGGGGTATATACCTTAAATTATAAAAGGGACCCTAACAAGATTTAAGGTATATTCCTTAATTAAGGGATATATTGGACCCTAACAAGATTTGAGGTATATTCCTTAATGCCCTTTATAGAGCCCTTATAGAGACCCCTATAGATCCCTTTAAGGCCCCTATAATTTAAGGTGTATAAACCCTAAACCCCAAAACCCTAAACCCTAAACCCTCCTTAATGAAGGGATATTGGGGTCCCTGAAACCTCAGAGGGGCCCAGGCGCCTTGGGGGTTGCGTAAGCCACGGGCCCCTGGCTCTTCTGATCAGAGGTCGATGGGTAGTTTCTTAGAGAGCAAGGGTTTAGGGTTTAGGGTTTAGGGGTTTAGGGGTTTAGGGTTTAGGGTTTAGGGGTTTAGGGGTTTAGGGTTTTAGGGTTTTAGGGTTGGGAGGGCAGCAAGGGTTCATAGGGCGTTTGGTTAGGACCTAACCCTAAGCCCGATAAACCCTAGCTGCCCTAGGCACTTCTCTAAGGAGCCCTGGTCGTTGTAGTCGTCGCCTGTCGTAGTTGCATTGGTGCTTCAACGAATCTTCGCGCGCATTGTATCATGATTCGCTTGGTTGCCGCCTCAGCAGTCAATTGCAAGTAGCATCAAGACATCAGTGCCCACCTACTCCCCAGTTTTAGCTAAAGAACCGTTAAGGCAACCTCAAGTCGTAAACGTCTGAAGGTAACCCGCTACATCCACCGGGTTGGTCGCACGGCACCGGCGGCGAAGATTTGCCAAGTATGCTAAGTGAGGGCGCAGGGTTTCTATGCGATCTTCTTATAAGCAACACGAATGGTTGATTCGGAGCACTTAAATCAATAGACCAGGGGACTTAGGAAGTAGGGTATAAGCAAATGTATGGACATGGCACCCCATTGTGAGGCTATGCTTGTCTACGGATGGCACTTCTAAAACTCCACTTGCATCCTACTTTGTACTTAAATCGCTTGACATACCCCTAAACCCTAAACCCTAAACCCCTAAACCCCTAAACCCTAAACCCTAAACCCTACATTTTAAACCCTAAACCCTAAGCCCAGCACCCTAAACCCTAAATCCTATACCCAACATCCAACATCTTAAACCCTAAACCCAACACCCTAAACCCGAAACCCAATACCCGAAAACCCCAGGATGGGTGGTGCTACTTGCATACCATGATATAGCTAGTTCTCTAGATGAGGGTCCCTTTTCGAATTTTTTAGGACCCAAATATAGTACCGTACCCTTATCAAAAGGACCCTAGAAGGGACCCTAACGTGAATGTAGGCTTTAGGGTTTAGGGGCTTCGAGTTTAGGGTTTACCTGTAGCCGAAAAGACCTACTTGATTAAAGGAACCATACAGTTCCTCAAAAAGGTAGGTCTTTTCGGTTACGGGTTTAGGCTTTCGCGTTCATTGCGCTCTTTTTTAGGGCTCCTTATTATTATGGTTCCTTTATACAGTTCCTCAAAAAGGTAGGTCTTTTCGGTTACGGGTTTAGGCTTTCGCGTTCATTGCAGCATCTGCTGCTCAAGGCTTTGAGAGTGGAGGATGCATGTGCCGTAGCATCAGAGTTCAATGGGCGACCATCAACTTAAGGTAGGTTTAGTACAGGGTTTAGGGGTTTAGGGTTTAGGTTTAAGCCCTCAACCCGGCAACCTGTACAACCTCCATCAGTTTAGGGTTCACCTAGACCCTGGCTTGCCTGAGTTCCTGGCTTGCGGGGTATAAATCCTAACCGTTCGGACCTTAATTGATATTCGCGATAGGCTCTCCAGAACAGCTTTGCTAGAACTTATCGGGTATCCTAAACTACCCTCAATGAGTTTATACGCCGAAGGTCAGGGTGCCGACTCTTCCTGCTCCGACGTCCGGTAATCCCGCCAAGCCCACGGGCGAAACGCCTCCTAGCACCCCACACCCCAACTGCAGCCATGGGTGATGTCACGCTTTGTCTTCTCTTGCATGCCAACGGTGCCGAAGCAGCAACCAATGGAGGAATGTAATTAATATTAGAGGCTAATAGCTAGAATGAGGTTTCGGGGGATGTTTCTGAAATAATATATCGGGGACGAATACGGAGACACCAGTTCTTTTTATTCCGACGCCGACATGACGCAACGCCGTACAAGTCACAACGATGTTTCCAGACATCGAGCAAAGGGCCAAGCGCATGTTTTGAATGAGGTTGAGGTCTTTTGCCTAGAGTTATGGAGGAATTGTAGCGGCAGGAAAACAGAATCGCAGAACCATGTTGGGATCCTATACGTGTTAGTCGGACATCTACTACTTAGTAGCTGAGTAGGTAACCTTTAACCTTTTTGGCCTTATATAATCCTACCATAATTGAAAGGTTAACCTTTTTTTGGCCTAGGCTACCCAGCCCCTAAGACTACAAACCTCTCAAAACTCGCGCAGAGATTGTTAGGAGCCCGAGCAGAGGATTCCTCCAAAACCTCGGCCCCCGCACCTTTGAAGCCCTGAACCCTAAATGCCTAAACGCAAAATCTCCTTAAGCACCTAGACCCTAAACCCCTATCTCCTATATCCTAAACTCCTTTGGGTACATCATACCCCTAAAAGGTCCAGCACTCTTGCTTCTTGCAGGTCTCTTGTGGATATACACTCTGGTTGTCGTGCCTACATGGCGCCCCAGCCCTTGCTCCTTGCTCCTGAACCCTCGATCCCGTCTCAGATCCTTAAACCCTAAACCTGCAAGCCTCAACCCGAAGCCCTAAATCCCAAACTCTAAACGTTACACCCGCAGCGCTACTGTAAACCTTGGGGTAAGTCATACCCGGAGTTGCGGCCATAGACGGCTCCGACCAGAAGCCGTCCAAACCCTAAACGCCAAACCCTAAACCCTAAACCCCAAACCCTAAACCCTAAACCCCAAACCCTAAACCCTAAGCCAAGCCCTAAACCCTTAAGCCCTAAGCCAAGCCCTAAACCCTAAACCCTAACGCCCGCCGCCTGAGCCTGAGCAAGTCAACCCCAAGTCACCCGGACCAGGTCCCGGCCTGAGGCTCCCTAAGCCCTGGGGTTTAGGGTTTACGGTTTAGGGTTGGGTTTAGGGTTTGGGGTCAGGGTTTATAGGCCCTAAACCCCAAACCCTAAAGAACCTACCTTTTTAGGGTTCCTTACTGTGATTTCTTTATCTAAGGTCCTCCTAAACCCTGGACCTGAAAGAGCCTACCTTTTTAGGGCTCCTTGCTGTGATTTCTTTATCTAAGGTCCTTAAAAGAGGGACCCTAAAGAACCTACCTTTTTAGGGTTTCCCAGTATGATTTCTTTGTATATAAGGTCCTTAAACAAAAAGTAGGTTCTTTGGGGTTTAAGGTAAACCCTAAACCCTAAACCATTGTTTCATCCAGAAGTACCCTGTCAGAGGCTCCAAAAAGTTTCGCCTGTAGGCTTTTGACCGATTTCTTGGGGACCCCTAAACCCTAAACCCTAAAGACAAGGATTATTGGTGTTCGTCCAAAGTCCCCAGCGTAGGGGTTTAGGGGTTTCGGGGTTTAGGGTTTTAGGGTTTAGGGGTTTGGGGGTTTAGGGGTTTGGGGTTTGTGGGTTTAGGGGTTTAGGGTTGCATCCCTCTCCTCAGGCCTCAATCGCCGCGTGTGGGCGCCATTGGCCGAGGATTTGGCAGCGACACTTGCCTGGAGAGAGGGTTTAGGGTTTAGGGCCTGGAGAGAGGGTTCGGTTGTATACTTAGTTGTCTGGTGCCCAACCACTTAGAATGTGGTATCCACCTGAAAGTTTCAGCTGTACGGGGCCAGGAAGTATAGAGTTTAGATTACAGGGGTTCTTGGGGTAATGAGTCCGATTAATGTAATTCTTCTGGCTAGGGAGTAGTACTGTTATCCCGTTATAGTTTCTTTGTAACCGTTAGTTTGTAGTATAGTCTACCCCCTCAAAACCCGGTTGTAATCATACTAAGGCCCTCTTTTAGAGGCACCGGGCCGATCAAGCGCGACAAACAGAACTGAGTGTAAACTTACCCTAACCCCCCAGGTACCAATTATATAGGGCCCTAAGGGCTCTAGTACCCAATATAATAGGTACCTAGGGGGTTAGGGTTACTTATCAAGTAATCAACCGATGCTTCCTAGCAATCCTACGCCCGGGGTGCACACCGAACTCCAAACCTCAAGTGCTGAAATCCCTGCCTGGTACGCCTTCCCCACCCAGCAGAACTAAGCACAAAAGGGGCTTAGGCTCGACCCAAAGGCTCCATAGTACTCAGTAGTTCCTTTTTGTGCTTTGTGTTTAGGATCCTATAAGGTAATCCCAAAAGGGAACTACTATGGAGCCTATGGGGAACAACAAGCCCAGACCCTAAATCCTGAACCCAAAGGCTGCGCGGTCGTCCTTTGGAGGAACTCACTCCGCCTCGTGCAGAGGCTTCTCACCGTCCTGGCTTCATGTTCATGCACACACCACACATTGCACGCACATCCTGTAAACTTTTGCAGCTTGTAGAGACATACATACATACATACATAAATACATACATACATACATACATACATCCATACATACATGCGTGCATGTATGTATCACATTTGCCATCTCGTCACATTCATCATGGCTTTGTCCTGAGTACAAAGGGCTGTAGTTGTCAGTGTCAGCCCTGGTATCATCGTTTTACACAAGCAGCCATGTTTGTCATTGATCGCCACAGTAAATACATGCTAGTTTCCAACCGACAATGATTCGATATTCTACAGGAGGTTTCCGGCCTGGAAACCTGCGAGGTGGCAAGGTTACAGCCAGAATGAAGCTCAAATTACCCCAAGACACATCCACCCTGTGCAGCAACGCATGGCAGTTTAATTCCGGCCTGGCAACCCCATCCCCATTGCCATCACAGTCAGCTAGTACAAGGCCTTAATCGTTAGAATAGAAAAGGGTTGTAGTTGTTAGGGTTTGGGGTTTAGAGTTTAGAGTTTATAGAACAGGGTTTTGGGTGCAGTGTATATCTGCCATCGGAAACACCAAGGCACCTATGATGTTATTGACAATGATTCAAGCTTCTGCACCATTAAGGGGTTTGGGTTTGGGGTTGAGGGTACTAGCACGGAAAACTTTGTTCCAAAATCCAATTTTGTGGTCCTAAACTGAAAGGGTGTCTTTCGTTCAAGACACTTTCTGGGAAGTAGTGGATGCGTTGATAATCTTGCCTCATCCGCAGACTCTAAGCCCTGCACCTTCAGCCTTGGAGTACTAAGCCCTAAACCCTAAACCTTGACCCCCAGAATACTAAACCCTAAACCTTAAACCCTAGACCAAGAAGCGCCCAGACCCTGCAACCTGCACTCTGTACAGGCCTCGCTCATGAGGATTGGCTCATTGTGGCTTGCTTCGCTGGACCTTCGTGGTTGCTACGACATGGAATGGCTTTAAAGGGTAAGCTTGCTGCAATGGGATCTAGGTACTGCCTCAGGTGCAACCCTAACCCTCAAAGCAAACCTTAAGTTTAATGCTTCAGACCTTAAACCCCCCAAACCCTGAAGCTTGACCCCGAGCTGTTTTGGGGTTTTCTGTAGCACCGCGTCTTCTCTTGCAGAAAGGGTTCGCCTGCACACGGCTTAGAACTTTAGTATCTCGGTGCTCCCACCGAGGGCAGCTAATTCGGGCCCTCTAAGACCCTTAACTAAGGCTTTGTGAGTTTGGTGTTAGTACAGGAATGTGAGTACTTTCTTGTGCTATTCCTTCCGGTTCCTGTTTCGTCATGGCTATACTACAACATGCCCCCCAAACCCTGCATGTTATATTTGCCCAGGCCGCCATACCAGACTATCATTACAGAATCCTGTGTCGCACCCCCTTTACAGAAACCCTGTCCTGGGTCCTTGTTGGATACAATTTTACATTTTTGTTATACTAAAACCCCAATAAGGATTAAAAATGATCATTTAATATGGCCCCAACAGGGAACCAGATACGGATTGAGCCACCAAAAATTTCCCCCCTAAACCCTATAAACCCTTTACAGAAACCCTGCCTTACGGATTGAGCCCCCGAAAATCTGTGTGGGTAGGACCTGCTTGGCCACGGAGCAGCGCCGGAGCTTCAGCTGGCCGGAGCAGCTGCTGGGCCGACTGGAGAGTATATATATATACATATATATATATATACACACACACATACATACATAAACATAAACATATAAATATTTAGTTACATACATATATAACATATACACACACATTTATGAATTTATATTTATCTACCCGTTTGATTTTTTGTTATATATATATATAGAAACTGATGTATTTTTTGTATATAGCAGAAGCAGGTTTGGGGCTTAGGCTGTAGCGGTTTAGGGCTTAGACCTCATAGTAGCAGCCAAAAACTTGTAGCGATGACGACTGGCTAGAGCTGGATTTCCTGCTACTTTGATTGCTTTAAGGGTACGAGGATGGGTTACGGGGTTGTGCAGGCTGTGCACACTTACTAATACTACAGCAATGGCAACTTTTCTGAAGCAAATGCTTATGAAGACACTTTCTAGATGTGTCCACATTGTCCATCGGATTACAGGTCGTGTTGCGTCGAGGTTTCCAGTGTTTCTAGAGTTTCATGCAGGTCTTGTGAGGGCCGCATGGGGCTTTCCACTGTTATCGTAGGGCCGTAAGGATGTGAGAGGCTTCGAGTTTGAGGCTTTGTGGGGTTTTGATTCTTGTAAGGTTCCTCTCGGGTTTGGAAAGGTGCTGGTGGGCTTTTGAAGTGTGTTACGGTTGTTTTCATTAGGGTTTTCGACGCGCATATCAATAATTCCGGAGTAGATGTAAAACTACACAGGTAGGGGCTCAGTTTAGCGTTTCTAGATTCCGAGTTTGGGATTGAGTGTTTTGGCTTGAGGGTGGCATAGGGGCTTCGGGTAGACACTTGGCCTATCAGCTCCGAAATCGCGCGTCCTGTTGCACTAAGTACCGGAGTAGGGTCTAAGGTTAGGGTTCTCGCTCTCTGTCTCTCTCTCGCTCTCTCTCTCTCTCTCTCTCTCTCTCTTCCTCTTATCCTCTCCGCGTATGTGTCTTTATCTATCATTATATTTATCTTGTTCGCTGGTTTTGTCTGTCTTATTTCTTTCTCTTCCTCGCTCACTCCAGATTACGTCCGTGTAAACCTTGTGCCAAGCGTCTTGCAGACAAACCCCGGCGAGATAGACTTCGAGTTGCGCGTTTGCGATTGGTTTGGGTTGAAGTCGTTCTACTCGGAAGACTCAAAAGATGGGATGAAGGTAGGTGGGATATTCTCAAATAAGAGTCCTTATATAGGGGATCCTGGATCCTACCTAGCTTCATCCCACCTCTTGAGGCCTCCGAACTACCGGCACCCTATCAAACCTCCTTTGTAAGGGTTCCCTGATTTCGATTTCCTTCTATATGTCCTTGAAAAGGGTAGGTTGCTTGGGGTCCAGGTATGCATCATTATTAGAGTGTTGTGTGTGTGTGTGTCTGTCTGTGGAATGTTGCTTCCATGCAGGACAATACAGGAAACTGGCTCTTTGGTTTGCGCCCGTGATGTGTTCTTCGAGATTTTGCCATGCATGTCCTGGTGCTACAAGACCCAAACCCGAAACCTACAGAATCCCTTTAAGACTATTTTCTCAACCTAAAGCGCCCGCAACCCTTTTAACTCCCCCCCCCCTAAACCCTAAACCCTAAACCTACCACCCTTTAGTAACCCTCAGCCTTCAGAGGAAACGGACTGGATGCAGTTTCGGGATCAGGTCTGGCACTGTTCCACAGGGTTTAGGGTTTGGGGTTTAGGGTTTAGGGTTTGGTTCACTTCCAAAGCCTAGGGCGAAATTCAGGGTTTGAGGGAAGTTCAGGGTGTAAGGGGTTTCCCAAGACTCCAACTAGCTCAAAGTAGGTAGTATTTGTAGATTTGAGACTCCGAAGGAGGCGCTATTTCTTTTCGTGCTTGTAGGGTTCAGCAAGTTGTAAGGAATATCAAGTGCTGCGGCGGCTACGAAGTTTACTGGGTTTACAGGGTTGGGTTTGGGAGGATTGAAGGTTGATGTTTACAAGGTCAAGGTTTTCATGGTTTCGTGTTTTTGAGTATTCGGATTTTAAGCTTAAGTATGCAACTTCCGGAGGGGTTCCAGAAAGACAGCCGAAGATAGGGCTGCAGCAGCAGCTTTGCGACGCTTTAGGGTTGATGGGCAAAGCATTTAGGGCATTCTGGGTTTAGGGGCTTCAGGTTTGGGGCTTAATTCTCCTGGGCGTCAAAGTATGGCACGGCGTTACGTAATATGACCCCTTTCAAAATCTGCCGGTTCAATGGTGTTTTCACATTATATGTTGCCCACGTAGCTTGATTTAAGGCCCTTAACGACAACAATAATAGGGCTGTGCGGGTGGATATAACGACATAGTAAGACTAAGGAGCCCTGCGGAATAATGTTACTTACTATTCAGTTTTCGGCTTTAGCTTGCAAGGGCTTCTGGGTTAGTCGAGCTTCGTGTCGGTTTAGGGTTTTGGTTTCGAGTTTAGGGTTTAGGCTTTAGTAGTTTGAGTCGAGGGTGTTAGGATAGGGGCCTGAAGGATTCGCGAGATTCGGTTCCTATGTGGGTTGCTTCGTGAGGGCTTCGTATAGTCGTTTTGTACTTAGTACAGAGTTTCACGGTAAACTATAGTATGCCTATGATATCAAACCCTACTGCATAGGATTGGTAGTTAGCCAGGCCCCGACATTAGAGGCCTACCATCATCCTTTGTTCAGAGCAAGAGTCACCTGGACAATCGTCAAATCTTCGGCAAAACATTGCTCCGCAAGATTGCCCCGACAGCCTGGAGTTCCAAGTATGGCCTGGCTGGTCAGAACATGGATCAGGTCAAGCTTGTCGACCTTGCTTGGCGAGAATGGGAGAATCAACTTATCCATGCTCTTTCCCACGGAAGTTACATGAGCTGGACCGTCTCTAGAAAGGTCAATGAGGCTGTATTTCTGCAAGCAGTTCTTTCCATCATTCGTGAAAAGAAGTGGGACCTAGATGATCTTGCTAGCCATTTCTGTAAGAGCCAGAGTGTTGCCGAGCCTTCAAAGTCTCACCCCCCCGTTGAGGAAGGCTCTCCTGGTTCTTGCTGATTGTATGTAATTAAGGATGCTGTTACGAAGAATCCTACGTCACAGTGTGTCTTTTTGGCATGTCTCATCCAATCCTAAGGGCCCATATCCCTGATCCCCATAAGCCCTACATCCAGAACCCCTAATCCCTAAGCCCAAGACCCCTGAGGCCTAAACGCTATCCTAAACCCTAAACCCTATAGCAACCCTGAACCCTAAAAACAACACAGAATCTAACGCCTCCCATGTCCGTAAACGGTGGTCCGTCGGCTCGGACCCCCACCCCTTGCAGGAAAGGTTTAGGGTTTAGGGCTTGGGGTTTAGAAGCAAAGGGTCTGTAGTGCCTAGGACTTGGGTTAAGGAGGTTGTGGGCTGTCTTTCTACACAAGAATAGGCTTTAGTGTTTCCGAGTGGGTGGGTTTGCCACCAGCAGATTACTTAATCAAGTCGGGAACCCTAAACCCTAAACCCTGAACCCGAAACCCTGGAGGTGGAGGCCTTCCTTGCTGAGTACCTTGCTTTGCTGCCTGAGGCCGCGGGGCGGTGGGGGGCGGGGGGGTTGAGGCCTTAGAGTTTTTGGTGGTTTAGTCGTGGTTTGGGGTTTTAGGGTTTGGGGTTCAAGGGGTACATAGATCCCATGGCTCAGGCTTTCGGAATCCCCTCATGAATAGCCCATACAGGTTGTAACAGGGATCCTCATATTGCTTCACTTACCCTAAGGCTCCATGTACCTATATAGCACATACTCAGGCCACAAAGTACCCATATTGGAACCCCTTTTCTGGCCTAAGTAAAAACCATATGGGCACATGGAGCATTAGGGGTAAACGGTGGGGTTTATACACCAATTTCCTGCATTGTATGAATGAAGCACGCTCAAACCAACAGCTTGAAACAAGTCAGGAAAAAGCTCCTGAAAAGATTTATACTATATAATACACCCCGAAACCCTATTCTAATTATGAAGACCTCTTAAGGCCCCTCTATTACACCCCGAAGACGGCTCGACAGCGCAACAGGAGCGTATTCCCTCAGGCCTTCAACGGTTTCCTGTTTTAAGTACTCACTTTCAGGCCTCTATATATATATATACAAATACAGGTACATGGAACCTATTGGGTTCAGGAAGGGCTTAGGGCTTAGGGGTAACGGCAGAGAAAACTCTCGAAGCCTCGAATTAAGGGCTTCGGAGTCTGGGCGAGGTCTTGGTGCTGCTATACACTCTTTTATTTTGTGTAATTATTCTGACCGCTTCGCGTCCCCGGCCTCCCCCCGGCCGCCAATCAAAAATCCCGAAACCCTACCTGGACCCCAAAGAACCTACCTTTTTATGGCTCTTTGTTTTGTGTTATGATTTCTGTATACAAGTCCTTAAAAGGCAGGTTCTTTGGGGTTAAAACCCTAAACCCTAAACCCTAAAGACCCTAAACCCTAACTTCGCGCCTATTTTCAGGGCCTTTACTCCCCCGCAGACTCTGAGGACTCATAGTACAGAGCTCCGGATAATTAGAAGCAGTATCCCCTAGGGTTCTCACTGCAGATCCAAACTTTTTCGGTAAAAAAGCACTCCTTTTTTTTTTTCAGTATTCGGAGGTTTGGGGTGTCAGGTGGGGAGGAGGGCAAGGGCCGTTTGGAGAACTAAAATAAGATCCCTTTCGGGGATCCTTTTTTTGGAAGGGGTGCCGTACGATGTTGAGGATCTAAAAAAGAGACCCTAATTTAGGGATCTACCCAAGTTTCTGGGGTTCTAGGCCCAAGGGATCTGGCCCTTCCTTCGGAATGACTGTTGAGGGTTTAGTGTCTAGGGTTCAGGGCTTAGGGGTTTAGGGTTTAGGGTTTAGGGTTTAGGGTTCAGGGGTTTCGTGTTTAGGGTTCAGGGTTTAGGGGTTTAGGTTTTAGGGTTCAGGAGTTTAGGGTTTAGGGTTTAGGGTTCAGCGGTTTAGGGTTCGGGGTTTAGGGTTTAGGGCGAGATGAGGTAAGGTTCATGTTAGAGCTGTGATGAGTGTATATCTACGTGTGCAGATGGCAGCTTCGGACAATTGTTGACTGTACACTTGTGCTTTTCTATGGGGTTCAAGTACCCGGGGTACCGTGACAGCACCTTGACTCCTAACCTCTATGCAGACCTCAGTCAAAACCGTTGTTTGCCCAGCCCTCAACCCTAAGCCCTGAACCCTAAATCGAATATGTAAACATATTCAATCCGCACGCCCCGCCACCAGGTTCCAAAGGAAGTGGTCGCAGTAGGTTGCCCGGCCTTTTCAGCCATCTCTGTTTTTTCGGCTATGGTGTGCTTAAGGGATGAGGGGGGTTGCTGGGATTTAGCACCTTGTATCGGTGTAGCATAGCTTCCTCCTCATACTGGCTTCTCGTCTCAGAAAAATATGTTAGCGTGATTCTACGGGCGTTATTTTCAGTGGCATCGAGCTTGAACGGGTGCTTTCACGTGCTTTTCTTTCGTTTGTTCTGGTGACCCTGGTGGTTCAAAATTCTGGTTCCTCTTGTAAGACAAGTGAAGCTTCATGCCCTTTACGTTTGTAGTTTAGGGTTCGGGGTTCAGGGCTTACAGTCAAGTGAGTCTCAATAGGCTTTACAGGGTTGATTAGGTTTCGGATTTTTCGCAGAGTTGCACGGATGCTCAGTCGTAGAAGAGCTGATTATTCTCCTCTGGTAATACTTCCAACCATGCATAGGGCTTCGTAAGGGCTTCATGCTGCTCTGGCCAGCTCAATTGTATTGGCACTCTATCTGACTCTATCTGCGCAACCATATATACACCTGTCTCTCTCTCTCTCTATATATATATACATGTTGTTTTACATGTACATACATATGCATTTTTTATAAGTGTATGATGTTCATATTCTAGTATGTCTACATCAGGACTTAACAATGCGATGCTTTTGCAGCTGTTAAGGCCCCTCGATCGCAGGCCCCACTCAAGGGCCGCTGGGTTTTTATTGGGCCCTCAACCCTAAACCCTAACCCTCAACCCTAAACCCTGAGGTCACTCCCTGGGCGGCGGCGTCCTCTTAACCACGCAAGCTTTCGCGGAGCGACAGCGATCCTTGCACCGATGGTTCAGGGTTTAGGGGGGATATTATGCCCAGACTTTTGTGTTTTTGCTGCTTAGAAAGTGGGGAGTCCTGTGAGGTTGAGGTCTTCGCAGCCCTTGAAACACATGTTTGCCTTTGGGTAAAGCTCAATGAACCCTAAACCCTAAACCCTAAACCCTGAACCCTAAACCCTAAACCCCTGAACCCTAAACCCTGAACCCTAAACCCTAAACCCTAAACCGTGGCATTGAGCCCCGGAGGGGCCCGCCTTCGCACCAACTGTGGGCTGGTTTGGGTTTGAAAGGGAGGGGCGGAGACCCTATTCCCGGGTCTGTGTTGGATACAATTTTACCTACAGTCTCCATTGTAGTTCCTTTTTGGGGTTGCCTTTTAGGATCCTTAATATAGATTTGGTTAAACCAAAAAAAGGAACTACAATGGAGACTATAGGTACATTTTTGTTATAATAAAACCCCAATAAGGAATAAAAATGATCAGTTTTAATATAGCCCCAACAAGGAACCAGATTCCCTACCTGGGCCCTAAAGAACCTACCTTGTTTAGGGTTCCTTATCATGATGTCTTTATATAAGTCCTTTAAAAGTAGGTTATTTCGGTTTAAGGTAAGCCCTAAACCGTTGCTGGTTTGCGGATAGACTTCAGATTAAGTTGATGCAGCGCGCCTGGCACGCTTGCAGTTGGGTTGTAGTGGTGGCGCTGTGCGAATCTAGAACCCGAAGCCGAATCCCTAAACTTCAAACCCTAAACCCTAAACCTTAAAACCCTAAACCCTAAACCCGAATCCCTAAACCTTAAAGCCCTAAACCCTAAACCCGAGTCCCTAAACCTTAAACCCTAAACCCTAAACCCGAGTCCCTAAACCTTAAACCCTAAACCTTAAACCCTAAACCCTAAAACCCTAAACCGTAAACCAATATCAAATTCCCAGCCCTGAACTCGGAAGCTCAGTAAATGGATCACAAATCCTCTGAGCTCATCCTAAACCTAAACACTACTCGGCCTTACTACGGCTGATGATATAAATCCTGCATTACCCATGATAAGAAAATAAACCATAATTCCCGTAGTTTAGGGTCCTTAAGGTAATGCAGGATTTATATCATCAACGGTACCCCTCCGAAATCACAGGAACCCCAACCATGCTCCGATCTCAGGATTTTCCCGCATGCTTATCTTCGAGCCAATGTGGCTCTTTGTGGAGCCGCCTCTATGGAAGCTGATCAACCTACCTCCTCTGCCTCCGGAGACTACGAAGCGCGGCTGTTGGGAAGTTTAGGGGAAGCTGATGGCCTGGGTCTTAAGTATTTTTTGTTTTGGAGCAGCCTAAACACACTGGACCCTAAATCCCGATCCTCTAGATCCTAAGTACTGTAGTAGAGAATTCTAGCAAAAACCTGCAAAATCTCACTTGCCTCAGTCAAAAAAATAAATAAATAAATTATATATATATATAGAGAGAGAGAGAGAGAGAGAGCCATAAATCACTAAACGCCGGCGAGCGATCTGTATGCTAGAAGTGTAGCTAGCTAGCTCGTGCTGTGACATAGCTAGTCAGGTGCACCAAAAACATAGATAGATGGAGAGAAGGGATAGATAGATAGGTAGAGGTAGATCCATCCATATATAGGTATGCAAGTAGGTGGGTAGGTAGGTAGGTAGGTAGGTAGGTAGGTAGACAGACAGCCATGCAGGCAGGCAAACAGGCAGGAAGACAGACAGACAGGGAGGTAGTAGGTAGGTAGATAGATAGAGAGACGGACAGACCGACAGACAGACAGACAGAGACAGACAGAGAGAGACAGAGAGAGTCAGAAAAATAAGCAGACAGACAGCTCAGACAGATAGATAGATAAATGGGGAGTTTATGTTCAGACCTTCGAGAGGCTCGAGCCGCCGGTGGTGGCTCAAACTCTTCGTCGGCGCAGTGAATGGCCAAGCCGTGCTGCTGCACACGCGGATCTGTCGCGCTGCTGGCATATTTAGGGAACAGGTGTCAATCTTCATCAACGAAGGGTATGTGGTTTTTGGATGACCTCTTTACCGTCTATGCCTGGTGCATGTCTCAATGCTGAAATATGAGCTGCCTTCTGCTGGACCCCGAAGACAAAGCCCTAGAGCCCGTAGCTCCAAACTCCTTCGGGAACCCCTCTGCAACCCTAAACTCCAAACCCTAATCCCTAAACCCTAAACCTTAAGCCCTTATGCAACCCTAAACTCTAAACCCTAATCCCTAAACCCTAAACCTTATAAGCCCTTATGCAACCCTAAACTCTAAACCCTAATCCCTAAACCCTAAACCTTATAAGCCCTTATGAAGCCCTGAGAGCAAGATTGAGACGGCTTGCGCTGACCTGGATCCCGAGCGCCACAAACCCTAACCCCCCAGGTACCTACTATACAGTGCCCTAAGGGCTCTAGTACCCTATATAGTAGGTACCTAGGGAAACCCTAAACCCTAAACCCTATATAGTAGGTACCTGGCGGGTTCGGGAAAGCTGATGAGGAAGTCACTGTTTAAGCCTTGGGCGCCGATCGGATGGAGGGCCGGGCGATGGCTTTCTTAGGGGTTAGGCCAGGCTTTAGGGTTTAGGGTTTGTAGCTGACAAAGAAGACCACGATATGCGAGTCGTCATCGACTTCATGCAGCAATTCAGCGGCTTTTGTTCAGGCCCTTATGTTCAAGCCCTTGGCTCGCCCCTTGAAGGACTGTAATCCAAAGTACTGCAACAAGAAAAATATTGTTTAGAAATTGACCCTTACTACTTACTAGTTACTGCTACTTATCATTTATGCTATCTTGAGTGACATTAATGAGGAAGTTTGCTTTGCGGTCCAAGGTCCAAGAAGGGCTTCTTTGCTTCCTGGGACCCGCGAGTCTTCGAAGCGCAGCTGCTCCGCAGTGTTTTTTTGTTTTCAGTTGCACACTTCTGAACGAGCCCCTTTAAGGAACCCCTTAAAGGAGCCCCTTAAAGGAACCCCTTAAAGGAACCCCTTAAAGGAACCCCTTAAAGGAACCCTTTAAAGGAGCCCCTTAAAGGAGCCCTTCAGGGAACCCCTTACCTTAAAGGAATCCCTTAGAGGGACCCCTTAAAGGAACCCCCCTTAAAGGAACCCCTTAAAAGGAGCCCTAGCAGCTTTGTTGAAAGGGGCTGGCGCAGAGGCGTCTGACTGAAGGAATGCTCCGCACATCCAAAAATTAAAATGATCCTTAACATGATTTAGGTCCGATTCAGATGTGTTTAGGGTTCAGGCTTTAGGGTTTAGGGTATATCGGGTTTTGTGGGTGCTACAGCCTATAGCCGGCTTCAGAAAGCTAGAAGGCTCGTGTTCTTCTGAGCGCTGTTCCTCGGCAGAGATCTATACACATGCAATTGGTCTACAAAGGGTCGGTAGCTTGCCAAGGCAGGAACACCAATATTCCCAGGAACTAGCTGCAGCATGTTATTTATGACAGCTTCTTCCAGCGTTTTCAATCAGACATCCTGCTTGCAGTGCAATGTAGCAAGTACCCAGACAAGGAGTCTGAATATCGCTAAACCTTCTAAAAGTCTATAAACCTGAAGCCATTGCTGTATTGTGACTTTTACAATCCGTACACCGTGATTAATTAGCCAATGCTATATTGCTATTCCTTCATGCTCCCCTCCTCGCCACACTGTACTCCCGACTGCTTGTTACTCGAGCCCGACACCCTAAACCCCAAAACCCTAAACCCTAAACCCTACAACCCTTAACCCTAAAACCCTAAACCCACAGCCCGGAGACCAGGACGAGTTAGTGGTTTCCCCCGCAGCATTCTCATCAGCCCTCACAGGCCTCAGGCCCTATAGGCCTCAAGGCACCATAAGGGAAATCCCCTAAACGCCGAATCCGACAGTTTAGGGTTTAGAGGGGTTAGGGGTTTAGGGTTTTAGGGTTTAGGCTAGACCTAATTCCCAAGTGACAACCCATCCAAGCTTTCAGTGAAGGCATACACCTTCAACCAAGCTCAGAACCGACCAACGGTTTGGCGCTTGTTCCTGCATTGACTAAGGGTTTCCCTCAACCCTAAAATACCCTAATCCCTAAACTCCAAAACCCCGAAACCGTGAACCCCTAAACCCTAATCCCTAAACCCTACCCTAAAACCCGATAAAGCCCTTTCTCACCTTTGTGGACCCAAGAATTGAAGCTAGAGGTCGGGTAAGCCTAAACCCTGAGCCCTGCACCCTAACCCTAAACCCCTTGCTTTAGGGTTTAAGCCAAACCCTAAGCCCCTAAACCCCATACCAGGCCCCAACACTACATTAAACCCCTAAATCCCTACATTCCTATACCCCAAATCCCTAAGCCCCAACACCCCAAACCCCCAAATCCCTAAACCCCAACCCCCTAAACCCGGTTTTAGGGAGCCTTGTACAAACCCTCCAAGGGCTCCATTCAGATTCCTCTAAGGGGCCCTAGACTCTGGTCCCCCACCCCCCCCCCCACCCAACAACCCAAGCAACCCTACAGATACTGAACATAAGCCATAGAAAGGAACTACTTAGGAGCCTATGGGTAAACCCTAAAGCGCCCCCTAAGTAGTTCCTTTTTGAGATTACCTTATAGGATTCTGAATATAAGCCGTAAAAAGGAACTACTTAGGAGCCTATGGGTCAACCCTAACCCCCACCCTATGGAAACCCTAAAGCGCCCCCTAAGGTATTTACAAGGCGGCCTGAAAGGCCAGGAGCAGCTCGACTAACCGATGGGAGCTCCGGGTTTCCCGGGGTTTCGGCTTTAGGGATTTAGGGTGGAGGGTTTTGGGTTCAGGGGGTTCAGGGTTTAGTATGTTTGGGGCAGAATTTGTCAATTTGAATCTCTCTGGCTCTTCGTAGGGTTGATGAAATGGTGGGTTCGTTTTGTGGGGTTGATTAAGGTTTAGGGCTGTGGTTCTTCCCGAAGAAGGGGTGTAGGGATCACGGTTTCGCTGTTGGTCGTAAGCCCTGAACCCTCAAAACTAAAGCCGACGTCGCTCAGTCTGGGTGTAGAGTTCAGAGTGAGGCTTCGGGTCTGTGGACGAAGACAAGGCAGACTTACTAAGGGCTGTGAGATGGTAGCCCACAATGAGACTCCTTGTAGTAGGGTCGATAAGGCTTCTAGAATATGAGGGGTTCTATAAGGATCCTTAGTTAGTAGTGGAGTAGAGTAGGTTACCTTGAACCTATATTTGGAGTACTGACTATCATCCCAAACTGTAGGTTCCCCTAGGATACTGGACACGTCAGGACTGAATCTAAATGAAAGATGGGAAATGGCTCTGTCAATTAGGTACTTGGACTCAAAGCTGTCGAGGTCAGGTTTGATATTTTCTGTCTCGTTTGCTTTTTAAGGTTCCAGGGCCCAAGGTAGCCCGCTAAAGGACATGAGATGCACGGGAAATAAACCCAGTAAACTTGAAGCCAATGACCCCACACTCCCTTAGGTAGTGTTCAGAGAGTGGAGTTTAGGGTTTAGAGATTAGGGTTAAACTCGCTGGCAACCGATCACGCGCCCACTAAACAAGAGCTGTCAGTGCAGAACATCACACTCATGCGGCTCATGCGGCAAGACTTGGCTTTCCCTCTTGCACTGTATGCGCCACCACTTTTGCTGTGCTGGGAAATCCATTGTCGGCGGCTTTCCCCATAGTGCACCATGCATCGATCCAGCAAGAAGGTCATCGAGCAATTCTAACTGCGAAATCTCGGAAACAGATGTTAGGACAGCAGTCAACGACTGCGGAACAAGCGGATTGCCACGTAACCATTTTGAGAAAATTCTAAACTCAATGCCTGAAAGTTCTTAAGGATTTGGAGAGATTTCTATGTATTGGTCGAGGGGAGCCGTGATTCTTGGGCTATCGGTTTCGGGCTAGCTTAATAGTAGGGCCGTAGGGTTTATGGCATATAGGGTTTAAGGGTTGGGATGTTGTAGGGATTGATGTTTAAGGATTTAGGTTTCGGAATCATGGTCTCAGGTTTTACTGTTCAAGGATTTGGGCTTCAAGGCTTTATGGCTTCTGTTTGTATAGCGGTTTAGGGTTTCAGAGTTTCGGAATGATAGTACCACGACAGCCACCACAGGGCTCGCATGTGGGCGCAGGACACCTAAAACCCTAAACCCTACACCCCTAAACCCCTAAACCCTAAACCCCTAAACCCTAACCCCTCAACCCTCAACCCCTAAACTCTAAACCCTAAACCCACACAGTTTTATAAAAGCACGAGGCTGTGAGCTTCGGGGAGGGAGGGGGTGGAGGCGACTTCGGGTTCGGTAGGAACCTTACGCCCTAAGCCACTAAGCCCAAAGCCTGGGTTTAGGCTTTAGGGGTTAGGGGTTGAGGGTTTAGGGTTTAGGGTTTAGGGTTTAGGGGTTTAGGGGTTTAGGGGTTAGGGGTCTAGGGGTTTAGGGTTTACGGGTTTAGGGTTTAGGGTTTAGGCCCTGCGGCACATTGCGTTCCTTATGGGGGAGGGGGGGGGGTCGGGGGAATGACTCTAGTTAAGAAACATAAGTTAAGTTGCCGTAGTAGGGTTCTGCAGCAAACAGTATAGGGTTCCCTTATTTGTTATTACTCATGGTTCTTTCATCTTGCTATGAAGGGAACTTGAAATCTAAAAAGGGATGTCCTTCAACCCCTAAACCCTAAACCCTAAAAGGGATGTCCTTCAACGACAACGCAGTCTAAGGCCATGTTCGCTGGCATGCTCACCGCAGACCGAGGCCACAATCTTCCTAAGTGGCGCCGCCTGTCAGAAATGTTTTGCGGCTGTAGGGTTTAAGGTTTTGGAGTTTAGGGTTTCAGGTTTAGGGTTTAAGGTTGCGGAGTTTAGGGTTTAGGACTTAAGGCTTAAGGTCTAGGGTTTAGGTTTAGGGTTTAAGGTTTAGGATTTAAGGTTTAGGGTCAACGGGTTAACGTCATCTTATAGGGTCCTTAATATTTGGAATAGGGTTCGGGGGGGTATGTCACGCCGATACTACACATGTACTTGCTTCGGGGGGGGGGGCGGTATGTTACACTGATACTACACATGTGGTTACCCAAGGACTCCAAATGGCTCAAAGTAGGTATCATTCATAGACTTCAGACCCCAAAGCAGGTATTATTTGTATACTTGGAGTCTTAGGGTTAAGGTGCCGGAAGGAATTGCGTTATTAATTGTTCATGCTTGTGTATGAAACCCCATACCCTGAAACACTACACCCGTACACCCTGAACCCAAAGCCCAAAACCTTCAGACCCCAGACCCACAAACCCAATAGAGATTCCTAGATCCTAAGCCCCATAAACCCTAAACCCCAAACCCTAAACACCCTAAAAACCCTAAACCCCCCAAACCCTACGCCCTCAACACCCTGAACACCCTAAACCCCCTAAGCCCACCCCCCTAAACCCTAAACCCCCTGTCCCCTCTATCCCAAAACGCCGACTAGCCATAAGCTCCTCAGTAGCTCCTTTTGGGGATTACCTTATAGGGTTCTAAATATGAACCATAAAAAGGAACCACTTAGG